TATGTTATCTAAACACATGTATGAAAATATGACTTTTGAAATTCGGTTCATCGTTTAATTCTGTTGTCATTGATCTAAATGACTTTTTATTTTTTATCTTCTCCAGTTTCGTGCTGCATCAGGTCAGTATGAAATATCAGTTTTCTTCATCTTAGTCATAAACTCTTGATCTTTTTTTAAATTAAATTTAATCCACTTCAATATTTTTAGGTTATTTCAGTCTGAAGGCAGCAGCCAGAGGCCGACCACTGATCATGAAGTGAACCGGACTGAAAGTGATTACAGCTCTCTGCTGCATGGTTGGTCACACAATAAATCTAACATTAACTTTTTGTATTTTATTTCGCCATGATGACACAGTTTTATAAAATGTATAAAAATCTCAAAGTGTCTACTTTAAGTCATTCAGTCTGACAAACAAAAAACAACAAAGTTAAACACCTGAATATTTTGTTTTCTGAGCTTCAACTTTATGTCAGAATTAATCTATAGATATTATGACTCTGCTGCTCAGTATGATAACATATAATTATATTATTAACATGAGTTTGATTGACAAAAAAAAAACTATTTAAGTTTGTAACAAACTGACAATTATCCCCATCAGGAATGAAAGAATTAACATGGTATATAAACAAGTACAAAATAGATCTTATTATTTTACATAATTGCATTCAGATCCAAACTTTTCTTTGATATTTTTTAGGCACCACGTCTGTGTATGAGACGATCCATAAACGTGGAGCCACTGGAAACGGTAAAGTATTAAAACAAGTCATTAAAGGAGACTGATTACATGTGAATCAGATCAAACACCAGCTGTCAAATACTCAAAGAGTGACATTAAACTATTTTAAAGTATCAGCAGGTTAATAGAAAAATGTTCAGGAGATTCTGAAACACTAATTCATGTTTTCTATGTGTTCATGTTTCTCTTTTACCAGAGAGGCCTCCTGATCCAGCAGACGGTTCTGTTTACGTTAACGTGAGACCAGATAATTACAGCTCAGCATGAAGGTCAGATAAACACCTGATTGGTTAAAATGTTACCCATCATTTTTTTTCTCTTCAATTAGGAAGATTTCCTGCATTTAGCAGTTCTACTTAGATTTCTGTTGTTTAGCTGTGAATTCATGACTGTATCCCATCTGTCTTTATTTTCTGTAACAGTATTTTCTTATTCTGACAATGATAACAGGCTGTTTTTTATTAAAGTATCATGTGGCTCCGGTTTTTGGTTTAGGCTAAATAAATGTATCATTCATTTCAAGTCTTTATTGTCCAGTGAGTTTGTTTTACATTTTTAAAGCAAACTTTTCAAAAGTTTTAAGCAGCACCTGTTTCTAGTACACATTTTCTGAGACACTATACATATTAGGCTGATTTGAAAAATGCATCTTCTCTGTTTGCAGGAAAGTGGAGTCGAGCAGCAACAGAAGCTCCAGTTTGTTCTCACGTTAAGAAAAGCTGTGGGTAACTCTGCTGGGTTGTTCTGCAAGAGTTCGACTCATTCTGTTTTTGTCATTATATGTCGTGATGATGATTGTATTTCTCTTGTTCTACAATGCAAGATGCTTCAATGTTAAATCTCTGCAATAATCAAAAGTGTTATATTTGTACCTTTGTAATCACATGTTAAAAATTAGCCGAAGATGAATAGATCTAAAGTTTGCAACATTCCAGTGAGATAAAACAAATGGTAAAAATTACAAACTCCATTTTTATTCATAAAACATTTGTAACTTTTACAACTTTCCTCTTCGTAATAAATATGAGACTGTGATTCAGTTCGCATATTGGTGCCTGTCTTTAATGAAATGTGCATAAGGACATGAATAGATGATATTGTCTCAACAACACATTGATGGTATTCAGGTATTTATTAAATAGTATAATGTTTCCAAATGGTCTCATTTGTCTTTCTGCAGGACAAACGAATGAGAAAATGTAAAATTTGACGTTAATTGTAAATTAGCAAATATAATATCCTAATCAATCACATATTTTATTATATTTGACAAGTTTGATACATGGAGCTGTTGTGGATGTTTTGAAATGTTCAGTATTGTCAAAAGTAATTATAATTACACACAAACATAAGTACCATGCTACAGGAAAAAAAGCAAAACATTATTTATTGAAACTGAGAATTCTGGGAATGAAACTTGTTAATTCCCAATGATACACGTTGTATTCTGTCCGTGACTTGTGTTTACAGGTAGGAGCCAGCAGATGGAGCCATTAAGTCGTAGTTTTATTTGTCAGCGGTCCTGAAAATGGCCGCCAGTTCAAATATGTGAGGCAGGAAGAAAACTTGTGTGTCTGCAGGATTCTGCTGCTTCACATGAACCTGCTCCATCCTGTTTGAATGGATCTGATTCAGGGATTCAAGGATTTTTTATTGTCATACCACCTTGATAGTTTGTGGTACAAAATTTGTACTCAGGTCCCAGATTAAAAATATACTACACAACAAAATAAATAGATAAATAATTATATAAATAAATAAACAAATGAACAATAAATTAATTTAAGTGATATGAATATAGTTATATGTCTGTGTGTAAATAATCTATGGGATGAAGCTGTATTTGGTGCAGCTTGAGTTCAGCAGCCTGACTTCTGAAGGGAAGAAACTGTTCCTCAGCCTGGTGGTTTTGCTCTGGATGCTCCTCAGCCTCCTGTCTTAGGGGAGCGGCTGGAACAGCCTGTGTGCAGGATGGGTGGAGTCCTTCCTGAGGAGGAGCGCCCTCCTCCTGCATTTCGAACTGTGTAGAGGTCCGAGGTGGAGGAATGGCTGCTCCCCGCAGTCCTCTGTGCAGTCTTGACCACCCTCTGCAGAGCCGCCATCTCAGTAGCAGTGCAGCTGCTGTGCCACACGGTGATGCAGGTGCAGAGAACGCTCTCCACCACACAGTGATAGAAGCTCCTCAGGAGTGAGTTCCCAAGTCCAGCTCTCTGCAGTTACTGCTGTTTTACTGTCTAAAATAAAATAGAAAGCAATTTTTGTCAAAGTAAAATATTAACAATAAAAAACAGAAAAGAAAAGCGTGTTCATGTCTTGGTAACAAAAGTGAACATTATTTAATTTGGGAATCTTCGAAGGGAACAAAAAAATTCCCACCAGACTTTTTCTATCAGTGACTTGTGCTTACAGATAGTAGCCAGCAGATGGTGCTATTAAGTAGTAATTTTTTTCAGAGTTCCAGAAAAAGGCTGGATGTCCGGTTATCCAGCCAGGAAGAAACTTTGTGTGTCTGCAGGATTCTGCTGCTTCACATTAACCTGCTCCATCCAGAGTGACTGGCTGGATGGAGCCAATCTCCATCCAGCCAATCATGGAGATTGGATCGATGGATCTCACAAATCCATCATCAAGCTCAACATCCTCATCCTCACTGAAAATACAGCTGCTGCCTGCAGCTACAACAACCATGCTAGCTTAGTAAGACCAACAATTCAGAGAGCCTTGAAACACATATGATTTCTTCTGAAACTAGAATAAATGGGAAATTAAAACAGCACAAAAAAGTGCCAGACCTAAACTCTGAAGCAATGGTCTGTATTCAAAAGTCACAAGAGGGCGATGCTGAGTTGTTATACCATTAAAGAGAACTCCTGTTTCTATTGTCAACACTTCTTGATCAGGACGTCACTGAAGATGAAGCTCAGCACATTTGCAGTTGTATTTATAGAGTTTCTGCAGGACACTGTAATGTCTCCTCGTCTCTTGGTGGAAGATCTGGACTAAAGTGAAATATTTAGTGCAGAAAACTACAAATTAAGTACCATCAGAAAAGCATGCTCTGCTAACACATGCTGGGTTAGCAGAGCTGCTAACGGCTTCTTTACGCTGAGTTAAGAAATTAAGAGAGGACATATTGTAAATGAGGCTATAGTTAGGAAAAAGCTAAACATCAGTGTATGGTGTAGGTTTGACTGAACGCCCCTAAATAAAATACAGAAACTTTTTTTTCACTCTGTACATTTTTAGAGTTTCTTCTTAAATCTATTTAAACTCCAAACTATTTCACAGTGTCTGATCTCATGTCTGATTTTTCCATACCTAAGAACTTATTTATCTGTGGTAGGTGAGATCATTCTCACCCATCACTTGTTTTCAGATGAAAAGGGGATTTTATGGTTTGTTTGCCAGAGAGTTCGCACGCAACACAAAAATAAAACATTTAAAACTCTTCATGTGTTACAGTAATGCTGTTTTCAGTTTATTTCAAGTGAAATTTATTTTATGGTTTCCAACAAGCAAAAGAAGCATATCTAATGAATTTGCATTTATTAAGCCTTTCAAAAAAACAACAAAAAAACAACAACAAAAAAAAACCCACACACAGTTCTGTGCTTCTTTTACCACAACTTCTCATCATTGGAGCGGAAACATCACAGCAGAAACTCAGTGCAGTGATGTCAGTGTTTAAAATAAACATCGTCCTTCATTCTCAGATAAAACGTTGATCCTGTTTCAGACGGCTCCATTTCTCTAGAGACGCTGCAGGGGCAGCAAGTTATGAAAGGAAGATTATTGGAGCAAAGCAGAGCAACAGCTGGTTTCAGGTTGAGGTCAGGATGGGGAACACCTCACCCAGTGTTCTGGTCTCACTCTGTAAGTAGATCCACTTTATCCGGATGGATGATGCTCATTAGAACAACACCATCTTTGACATCTAGTCTGCTGTAATATCTACTTTATCTTCCATTGTAATTTTGTAGCTTTACTTAGTGTAAACATTTGTTCATGATGTCTTTGCCGCTGGCTGGCTGGCTTACCAGTAGAGATGAGTGTGAAGTTTCCGTAGCCGTGCAGAACGTCTCCAGATGTTCTGTCTTCAGCCAGGGTGTGAAGTTTTTAAAATAAAGTTTTAATTCATCAGAAAAACAACAATAAACTAAAACATTTGGTCGTTTTCGTAAGAACAAATACATACTCAATATCTTTATAAGAAATTTGTTCAACAGGTAAAGGGAGTCATAGCTGAATGTGAGGGTGAGGCAAAGATGTTTGGTTTAATTTAACTAATTTATTATTTACGCTGATGAACTTTATTTCAGTGCTGAACACACTCCTCTGCTGTGGACAAACTCACGGTAACTTCAGCTTCTCATCTGTATTTTAATCATTTATCCTCTCAGGAACAGAATCCAGTTGATCTTTTATATCAGATGTTATTCTGAGTTTATCTTTTAATTTTTATCTTGATGTGTTTTTGTTACAAACTAAAAGAGAAACGTGCTGAATGTTGGTTCTATTGTAGGTGCTGGGCTGACTATTGAGCCCAACTCGTCAACGTTTTATGTTGGAGAATCTTTTACATTTAACTGTGACATGAATGCAGGAAAAGACACTGACTGGCAATACCGGTTAATAAGGAAAGATGAAGAAGTTTTTGACTATCAGTCTGATAAACGTTTCATAGTTAAACGTCTGAATACTAGACATAGTGGTGAATATCAGTGCTGTCGTCGCTGGAGGAACACCTCGTATGGAAAAAAGTGCAGTAATATTGTCACTGTTACTGTCACAGGTAAGACCTGAATATTTTAAAGAATTACAAAGATTTATATCAGCCCTAAAAAACATGCATTTGCTTACTGTATTTTATTTCATAATTTCAAGCAGATTCATTTGTTTATAAATTGTGTGTGAAATATGACATACATAATTACTGGGTTTAATTTTTATGGAAAAAAATTCAGTCACAAGTAAAATAAAGAGCAACATATAAGAAAATATGACTTACTTTTCCTTATAGACTTGCTTCATTGTAGAGTTAACCTCATTATCTGTTCAGGAAAAATAATGTACATTTTCATGTTAGTTAGTTAAATAATTTCAAACTAATTGTGTTTTCTTTTTTAATTTAATTTCTTTATAATAAGCAAAGACAACAAAATGAAATACTCTTAACAATAAGTGTTTAATTAAGGTGTTTTTTATCAAATCAAATATTTGTTTTTATAACAGCAGATAAACTTACAGCCAAACTGACAGCAGGTTCAACAACCATACCAGTAGGGGGCAGTGTGACAGTGAACTGCTCAGTGGAGCCCTCTGGTGGATGGAAATACAGGTGGTGGAGACGGACCTCAGACACACCTGAAGCTGAATTCAGCACAAATAATAAAGAAAACAGAGAGATCACTGTGAGACAAGGAGGAATCTACAGGTGTCAAGGAAAAAGAGGAAATCCCTCATTCTACAGCCATTCAAGTTATGAGAAAACCATAGAGATAACTTGTGAGTTTCTTTTTGATAACTGCCAGAAACTACTGCTACTGAATTTTTTAAAATGTGATTTAATGTTTCTCTCCATATCTGATGTTAACAGTTTCCAACAAGGTTTCTGTGACTCAACAACCAAACTGGCCTCTTGTCTTCAGTGGTGAGACGATCACTCTGACATGTGAGGTCCAGGGAGGAGAAACCACTGAGTGGACGTGTGAATGGAGGAGAGATGGGTCAATAATACCAGGAACACACAGTAAAGACTTGATGTTCAATGTCTCTGAGTCCAGCAGTGGAGACTACATGTGTCAGTGTAGAAACAGAGACGACTGGTTTTCTTCAACACAGTGGAGTGAAACCATAACAGGTGATTTAATTATTGTCTTTTCTGAACAGATTGAAGGAAAAAAAAGTGTTCCTCATATGTTGGACTAAAAGAAGTTTCTTCTTTGGACAGACCAGAATAAATTTGTCTATTCCCCATCTGAGTTATGAATTTTTAACCGTAGAAAAAAAGTAGCAGATTTTTTTGTTCACTTCCTTTAACAAGTTACAGTAATAAAACCACAACTGCTATAATTTGTGCTGCTATGTGCACATTTTTCCCAAAGTTGTTTTTTTAGGTATCTAAAGAATAAAACAGAAAAGGTCTCCGAGTTCAGTTTACTACTGAGTGTTCATCAAATTCAGTCAGATTCCTCTTCTTTAAATGTCCTTTTGCTTAGATTAAGCAGCTCATTGTTGTGATATAAGTTTTCTCCTCTGCTCCCTCCCTGCCCCTGCCTGCCCTGCTTGCTCTGTTTTTGTCCTGTCTTTTTCTATATTTTTGGAGCTTTTCTTTGTATATTCTCCAAATCTACAAAATTAGTCAAATTTTCGATGACGAGTCTGGGCACAGGAGAAAACCTCAGGGATTCACCCTGCATTTATTCATGATAACAGGAATTCTGTTGTTTGGAGCTTGTGGATTCCTGGCTTATCGACAAATTTGTGACGGACTTGGCCGAACTAGCGAACACTCAGACTGTTGGTGTGGACAAAGACGCAAGTTGGATGAGAGTCTCAGCAAAACTCGCAGCCCAGCTGAGGACTCTAAACTCACTTACGGAATGGAATCGATCTTGGAGAAGCTGCTAGTTTCGGCTCAGTGGAACGACCAAACTAATTTGGATAATTGGGAACTAGGATGTATCGGAGAGACTTTAGGGAAGATTGAAATTTATAATCTTCCCGACCAAAGACATTCTGTTTATGAATTGGCTTTCCCCTTGTTGCTTTGGAAGGGCTGCACATTTCCAATCTCCTTGAAGATATGTAAACATAATGCTCCTTCCCTCCTCACCCCCTCCTGTTATCCATACAGCTGAGCGCTCCCAAGGACATTCCTTGATAACAGCATTTTATCGGACTTCTGCTGGGAGGCTGAGCAACGTGGTTTCATGGCCCTTTGACGTCATCGCCTTCACTCATGTCTTTGTTTTGCCTTTTGTTTTGTCTGAATGTTGCCATTTGCCCTAATGTGTCCTTTCCTCTTTTTTATTTTATTTTGTTAGAAACCGTGGAGTACACACTTTTAACCCAAAAAAGGAATTAGAACAAACTTGGAATCCAGAGACTCAGTTTATTAGTCACTCTTTGGCTTATTTTCTAGAAAATGTAGACTCCTCTTCTTCCAACCCAGAAAAGGAATTAGACCAGAGGATACTTACTTATACTTATCTACCAACCCTGAATAGGAATATCTAGTTTATATCTAGTTTATATACGTTGATCAACATTATTAGACTACTTTTTAGACTCCTGTTCTTCCAACCCAGAAATGGAATTAGACCAGAGGATACTTAGCAACCTTGAAAAGGAGCACTTAGTTTACATACTTTAGATAAACATTAGATTTTTTTTCCCGTTTGCTTGTTCCTTTGGTTTGTTATTTTGTTTGTATTTCCTTTTAATTCCTGTAGAGCACTTTGTATTGCTTTGTTGCTGAAAATGTGCTATATAAATAAAGTTACCTTTATCAACGAGGGTCTAATGAGAGGTAATAACTAGAGGAATCCTCTAGACACAACTCTGTGTCTAGTTAAAGTTAGTTACTTATAACTATTCTATAATTATAAATAGTTATAAATACTTAGAATTACTTATACTTGTAACTGCATTGCTTAGAATTACTCATTTGTTTGTAACAAACACTAATAAAATGTTTCTGTTTTTGTTGAATAAAATAAGGACTAACATGAATTTTTTATGTTTTGTTCTTTCAGTAACTGTTAGCTCTTCATTTCCTGTGATGCTGATCGTTGGAGCAGTCAGTGGAATCGTTCTCATTTTTCTCATTGTCCTCCTGCTCTTGTTGTGGCTCTGCAGACGGTCTCAAGGCGAGAACATTTTCTTCTCATCTTATTACTTTTTAATTAAAATACTATGTTATCTAAACACATGTATGAAAATATGACTTTTGAAATTCGGTTCATCGTTTAATTCTGTTGTCATTGATCTAAATGACTTTTTATTTTTTATCTTCTCCAGTTTCGTGCTGCATCAGGTCAGTATGAAATATCAGTTTTCTTCATCTTAGTCATAAACTCTTGATCTTTTTTTAAATTAAATTTAATCCACTTCAATATTTTTAGGTTATTTCAGTCTGAAGGCAGCAGCCAGAGGCCGACCACTGATCATGAAGTGAACCAGACTGAAAGTGATTACAGCTCTCTGCTGCATGGTTAGTCACACAATAAACATCAATATTAAATTGGACATAACTTCACTTTGCTGTAACGTTTTCTTTATGTTGATATAGCTTCATAAAATTAATAAAATCTCTTAAAGTGTCAAAGTGAGAATTAAACTGCTTCTGTCTGACAAACACAAAACAACAAAGTTAAACACCTGAATATTTTGTTTTCTGAGCTTCACCTTTATGTCAGAATTGATCTAAAGATATTATGGTTCTACTGCTCAGTAAGGCAACACATAATTAGATTATTAACATGAATTTGATTGATAAAAACAATTCAAAGTTGTAACAAACTGATATTATCCCCATCAGGAATGGAAGGATTAACACCGTATATAAATGAAATAGATCTTATTATTTTACATAATTGCATTCTGATCCAAACTTTTCTTTGATATTTTTTAGGCACCACGTCTGTGTATGAGACAATCCATAACCGTGGAGCCACTGGAAACGGTAAAGTATTAACAAATGTAATATTTTAATAAATCACATTTTAAATTCTAAAAGTTTCCTTCACAGGGCTGTTGTAGATGTTTTGCAATTTTTAGTATTGTCAAAATAATTATAATTAAACACAGACATAAATACCCTGTTCTACAAAAAAACATTATTTATTTAAACTGAGAATTCTGGGAATGAAACTTATTCCCAATAATACACCCTGTGTTCTGTCCGTGACTTGTGTTTGCAGGTAGTAGCCACCGGATGGTGCCATTAAGTCATAGTTCTCCAAATTGTTGGTCCAGAAAATGACCTTCAGTTCAATGATGTGATGCAGGAAGAAAACTTGTGTCTTCAGGATTCTGCTGCTTCACATGAACCTGCTCCATCCAGAGTGATTGGCTGTGGTGGAAACGGCAGCAGAACATCTCACAAATTCCTAATCAAGCTCAACATCCTCATCCTCACTGAAAACACAGCTGCTGCCTGCAGCTGCAACCATGTTAGCTTAGCACAAACAACAACTCAGGGAGCCTTGAAATACATATGATTTCTTCTGAAACTAGAATAAAATGACACTTTTTAGTGTCAGTTTAATGGAAAATTGAGATTAAAGAAGAAGGAAAAATGTGAAGACCTAAACTCTGAAACAATGGCCTGTAGTCTGTATTCAAAAGCCACAAGAGGGCGATGCTGAGATGTCATACCATTAAAGAGAACTCCTGTTTCTATTGTCAACACTTCTTGATCAGGACGTCACTGAAGATGAAGCTCAGCACATTTGCAGTTGTATTTATAGAGTTTCTGCAGGACACTGTAATGTCTCCTCGTCTCTTGGTGGAAGATCTGGACTAAAGTGAAATATTTAGTGCAGAAAACTACAAATTAAGTGCAGTTAGAAAACCCATGGGTGCAATTTAGGGACGACTCCAAGGGCCTCTGGCTGACAGGGGTCCAACGCAAATTTTTTTTTTGTTGTTGTTGTTTTTGTTTAAAGAAATAGAATAAAAAATTGAGGGCCCTATTAATAATAAAATTAATCATATTGTGTTTT